CGAAAGCCTCTGGGCCTTACAGGGCAAGTAATTTCAATTATTCAAAAATATTAATACTTTTTTTTTTTTTTCTTCATTTTTCTAATCTGTTTCAAAAATATTAATACTTTTTTTTTTTTTCATTTTTCTAATCTGGTTTTTCACGTTTTTAGAGCACCGGCCTCGAGTGTGCAAATGCCGCTGTATTTTGTGATCTGCCTCTAAAGATGTGCAACAATGTCCTCCAAGGAGAGGTTTGCCAAGGGAGCCGTCAGTATGATCTCTGCTCTCCCCCCCCAAGGGCAGGGGAGGTCGCTGGGGCGCTCCCAGCCACACTAATTGCTCCTCGTGGGGACTGGAATACGGTGCCGAGCCGCAGCACACTCAGAAAGCTTCTTTACACGTATTTTTCATTTGAAGCGGACGGTGAAATCATTTGAATTTAAGTATCCGCTTGATGAATGCTTACACTGAGGTTGCAGCAGAGGCAGAGACTTCAGACCGATTTACGCTGCAAGACCGGGCTGAGCCGCACGGAGCTGCCTCTCCGGGCGGAGAGAGAGATGGACAAGGAGCGGGTAAGGTCTAAAGTTCCTCCAGCTCCTTCCCCAACCCGGTAAAATCCACACCTGATCAAAAAGCACGGACCGTGGCTGGTCCCAGCTCTCCCAGTTCACCCAGCCACCGCGGCAGCTCCTACCCCCGGTCCGTCGCCCAGCGCCATCGGTAGCGTTCCTGCCTGCGACTTATGCAGCTCGCAGGAGGTCGGTGCCTCTTCACCGGTTATGGGCTGGGACATACAGGTACCTTTTTCACCCTTATTAGCACTACCTAAATAAAAAATGGCTTTACAGAACTTCACAGAGTTACTATTTTAAGAATCAAACCTGCACTCTCCTCCTGGAAAACAGGAGCAACCAACTCTCGTTCCTGCAACGCCAAGCTGTGCTAATGAGGCTACAGCAGCTCTCCCAAGCTGTCATCTTCTACAGCCATGCAAAATTTAAGGCAACAGAAATTGCATTGTCTTTGGGGGGGAAGAAAAAAAAAAAAAGATGCTTTTCAATATAATCTTTGCAATCAAACGGCCTTCTCATCAGTATAAGTTAAGTGGGGGACAAATAAGGCAGCTTTCTGCGAACACTTGCTGATCTCTCTTAGGTGAATAAACGATAGGAGTGGTGATCAGTGAAACAAAATTTCTCTCTAAAAGAAGCAAGGACAAAGGTAAACGTCTCTAGGAACTAGAAGAGGTGATTTTTCCACACCCGCGGGGAGAAGCACAGCAAGGGAGCGGAGCGGCTGGGATGGGCTGCTGGCAGCTCAACGCATCTTTGCCTTTCACACTCATCTTTCCTTAACACTTTGCAGCTCCCCCCAGAGGAGAAGCGGTGCTCCACAAAGCTGTGAAACTACATTTTCCGACACTCCACCTTCAAGATATTACTGTTGTCTTGCTGCTATACAACATGCAGAAAACCTTCAAACAGTGGCACAAGAGTGGTCTCTGGTGGAAGCAGATCAGATCTACAGCATTGCCACCAAATGCACAGGAACCCAAGCCAAAGACCTTTGTCCGCAGCTACCAGAAGTCACTTCTTTTTAGCCTATGTAATACTAAGTTAGCCTGATACACTACACCCTAAAAAAAACCGAGTTCTCACACATGCTTTTGGACTTTAGATCTTCTATCACATACGGTCTTACCGTACTCAAATCTGCCAGAAAACCAAGAATGGGAAGAGTGGCTTTTCTGAGGTATTTTCTTAAATGTGGACTTAAGAGAAACTGCAAATCAAAACACTCAGTCCCCCTTCAGAGCTGTAACACATTGACCAACCATCTGACAGCAGATAACAACGCAAGACAAAAATAAGGAAAGACAGAAAATAGTAGCTCAGGGCAGCGACACCACTAGTAAATGTGCAACCACAGTGAAAACATTAGAGCTCTGGTTCTTTCCCCAAAATCAGGATTTCAGCCCACTTACGCTTACTTCAGAATTGAGACTTCGAAGTCTGAATCCAGCAAAATAGCATCAGATGGGCAAAAATCTCATCCTCCAAAAATTCAGAGGAACTTTAAAAACATTACAAAACTCCAATCGCTCACGTTCAGTAGACATTTCCTTGTAACTTGGAGTTCGATCAAGACAGACAACAGAAAGTGCCCTGTCAGCTTCAACGGCCTTTGAATCAGGACTACAAAACAGCAAACAACAGAAGAGATAATGTAAATCAAAGAGAAAACAAATCCAGGAGAGAAAAAAAAAAAAAAATATATCAAAGTGATGGTCAGATAGCTTGTTTCCACAACCCTGTTTTTAAACACAGCATGAGCTATTTCCCAGGGTACAGTTATCCATAGACTGGAAAGAGCCCAGCAAGGTTCTCGGTGCAGAATTCCCACCTGCACTAGGTTCTTCACGGACCAACTTGGAGAAAGCGGTATTAGGGACCACCAGCAAGTAGGTCGGTACTTACTTGGGCTCAGCTACCTGCTCACGAGGCCAACACCTCGATGACACCACACTTCATTTCTTCATTCCACGTCAAATCACTGCTTTCAGCGCAGGCTGCCCCTTGAATCATTATGCAGGGAAAGGGAAAGGGAGGTGGAAGAAAGAAGCTTTTTGTTTTGGAGGTGGGGTGGTTTTTTTATTTTCCTGCAGTAAGCAGCCATCCCGTGTTCTAATTAGATGAAAATCCAGCATACATAAGAAGGCATCTCATGTCTAGTAACCACGGCAGATGAAGCTGGCAAGAAAGCCCTCACCAGAGAGTAATCCCTTCTCCAAACCATTAACTTATTTTTGTGTGCTATTGCAAAGATATAGTTGAGAAGTCTCATTTCCCCCAGGGAAAATAAAAGCTATTTCTTGCACATCTCAATTATACGTTCTTGAGCTAACCAGGTCTAAGGCAAAGACAGAGCCGAGTTACCCTTGGAGACAAAGAACTGTTAAGTTCTGGCTGAGGCAGTCTTTTCCTTCCTCCCCAAAATACCCAGCAGTATGCCCAACCTCCAAGAAAGCAGAGCAACGTGGTATTTGCTGTAATAGACAGCAACGCTCTTAGCGGCATCAGTTCATGACTAAGGCTGGCTCACAAAAAAAGTGAATGCCCAGCCTACCCTCTTTGGGGCACACAATCAGAGACTTGCATTCTCCACACACAACAAGACTGCCACAGGCACCTGCAGCAGAACTAGAGAACTGACCGGGGACTTTCGGTACTGAAGTCAGAGGTCTTGAGCTCTTCAGATGGGCCAAGTCACGGAGAACTTGAATGACAGCCACAAATCTGCTCGAACACAGACTTCAGATATGTTTTCCTTTACTCACCCCTACTCCCCGGTCACCCTCAACTGCTGAAGTTTTCCTGCCTGGAGAATGGCAAAGATCAGGTATACACAGCTCAAATTCATCTTTTCCCTGCGTTTGGGAGATCACCTGCAAGCTTCATGATGGCCTTACAAGAACCACACTATAAGAAAAACACACATAAAAGCGGTCAAATACACCATTTTTAATGCAGATTTGTAAAATTTAAGCTCAGTTTTGAAAGTTTAGGACATTTCATGAAAGAGCATTTGGTCCTCTTAAAAATTTCCCACCCCCAATTAAATACTTTATGGAAAAAAAAAAAAACAATTAAGCATACATTGTATTTTTAATTAGGAAAAATTTATATTGCACATTATACCAAGAAATACAAAAGTCTGTTTCAGCAAGTTATTCCAGCAGTGTTATCAATTTCATTTTGATATCATTGACTTTTACACAAGTTTTAATTTTAGTGCATAACGTGCCCTGTCATTACAGAGTAAAAATGTATCAAAGCATTTTTAAAACAAAGAGGAAGAAAAATTGGCTCCTTAAAGAATACAAAACCTTTTACCACATAGTCAGCACCAGTCTCCTTGTAGACAAAAGCCATTCCTATGGGAAGATGACTGTCAGATCACCTTGGCAACACAAGTTTCAATGCAGTTTCCAACGAGAAGCTGACCATATACTATTTGGCACTGTAACTACCGGTCCAAGTCACTCAGGGCTGAAAGGCTGCAATACCTGCCCATACCGCTCCCATTCTACAGCCACCTCTCGCTCTCTTTCTGGCAATACACAAGAGGGAAAAGCACAGTGGCAGAACAGTTGTGCAACTTCATTATAGTCGTGCAATTCTCTGAGGAAAACTCTGAAACAGATTTCTGCGCGTAACACTTGGCTGGAACCCCTAGCAGGGTTCAGGTGCTTCAGAAGGCACGAAACACTGAGAGGCAATTGCAAGGTATATAACGCACGTTCGGAGAGCTAAACTGCCAGGCAGGGAAAAATCACTACCAGAAGCAGGCACCGACACGCCCAGGGCAATGTCCGTCCTGGCATCTGCTGCGCCATGATTTTAAATGGCCAGTTGTGGAATGCTGCGTTCGGCTTCCACGCTGCCAAGCGCTCCTCCTCTCAGAGCTACAATCAGAAGATCTGGCCCGGTAGCAGCGTTTCAGAAAGTCCGGACATTTTTCCTTTCTGCCTCCCTCGGTCGGCAGAAAGCACTCCCTTTACGCATCCTCCTGCGCTTCTTTACATGTTTACAAACTGAAGCATACCGGCATGCCCAGGCAACGTTTACTGGTTAAGAAGCTATACCTTGAACCTCTCCCAGTACCTCTTTGGATCGTAACACTTGGATCAATTTATGTTTTGCTTTGAAATAGGCAACTAAGACATTCCAGTAATAGGTTTGCAAAGCCAATTCTACAGGGGTTGGAATTGCCAGCTGCCTCAAATATCAAGGCAACCGATTCTATTGCAGTGTTTTGGAAAATCTTAACATACTTCCCTCTCTCCTCTCCAACCCTCCCCCCCCTTAAAACACACACAGTAAGACTAAGAAGACAGGATTTTTTTTTTTTTTTTTGCCTGAATACAAGATCCAACTATCATGGAATAGAAGATTCTACAACAAAGTCCCTGAGATGCATCTGTATACTAAAAGATTCAAACAATAACCTCTTCAGCACTAACTTCATATTTATTAGAAATGTTTTGAGTTGCAACACATGGTTTATGAAAACCGATGTTGTTATAAGAAGGTGAAAATACAGCAGATCAAGTTTGCCCTTATATTTAAGCCTTAATTTAAAAATAATTAACCCAACAGTAACATTCAACTACTTCAACTGTAGTCAAAAGTAAAAAGCATGTAAGAAATGGGGAGCCATTGGGGGAAAAAAAAAACCCACAACAAACTCTTAGAGTAAGTGGTTTTGGCCTCAGTTTGTTTTCATCCCTCAACAGCCCTGCCTGAATTTAACTGCTTTCTTCCTGAAAGTTCATAGACAGTTATTCCTCAAACATATCTGAGCTGTATTTCAAGATGGTGGGATGAAGCAACAGCGTTTTTTCACCATCCCTCACTGGAACCAAAAGGCACAACTTACAGGTACAGTTCAGCACTACAGTCAGCATCACTAGCTGCCGCAGCCGTGGCCCTGTTACGACGGCATGTACCAAACTGTCGTGTGGCAGAGGGAAGTTAGCACGCTGCCGGCTCAGACCTCTTACGAACGCCATTCCCAGGGCGAGGCAGCGGCAGCCCCGTCACTAACTAAACCGACACCGAGAATACATCCAGCCCACAAGTACTCTCTGGGGTGGGCACAGCAGTTGATATTCTTCCAGTATCTTTAAGAAAAAAAGAAGTCATCTCATAGGTAAGTTACTTTTTAAGTTACTTTGGGATCCGCTGTATTTTGCAGCCAGCTAATCAGAAATACTTTATCCACCTTCCCAAGCAAGCTCAGTTTTTCCTACTAGTGAAGAAAACTTAAGGCACTAACATATTAATGCTGTCAGGAATGTGAAATAGTTTGTTCTTCATGTATTGTTATACCAGTTCTTAGCAGCATCTCTCCTAAAAAGGCACTAGATACATGGCAAACAACAAAACTTTTGGAACTTCTGCTCAGCTAAGCTAAAGTTAGCTGCTTGACAGCTGAGTGGCTTTGCAATTTCCCCTTCCCTCCCACCCATTCCCTTACAAAAAAAGGCACCTGATTTGTTTTATTACTGGTTTCTGTAGCCACAGGCTCTTGTGACTGTGCAGTTCTATACAACTGTGTATATGAGGGTATCATGACTATACTGATAGCTTCTTATATGATCAGGAGTTATCTTTTCAAGATACTATTCTCGATACAGCGTTTTTGTTTCAGCAAAACCCATTACCAGTGGGTTCCTACCTGAGTAGTACTTAAGGTTGTGTATTGCTAGTCAGAATAATTCAATGATTAAACTTGGTGTAAGAAATTGCACTTTCCCATTCCTTCCCCAATCCCAAGATCATTTCAAATTAAATACTAGACCCTTTTCTAAAGGGACATTTGTAATACAGCTACAAAGAGGTAGCTAAGTGGCACACGCCAATTTTCTTTTCTTTTTCTTTTTTTTTTTTTTTTCTTTAAGTATATTCAGCCTTCATTTGCAACAACATTTTTCATAGGAAGTCTTAAAACAAGAAATCTCTATTCAGGTGGCACACGGAGTTACCGCAGTTCAGAAGACAGAACTCGTAAGAGAACTTGGATCTCCCTTCATCTCCGTAATTGAAAACTAACAAGCACGGGTATACCCAAGTGACTCAGCGTATGCAGGTGCGTAGCTGAAGAGGAGAGGAATGTCTACAGCCAAATCCCATGCTCCTCCTGACATATGATAAAAGTTACTCTGAAGAACCATTCAGATCAAGCCCACCATTTGATCAATCTGTCTCATGTAGTTACTCTTCAATGGCAGTAAGTATCTCCTCTCGTCAGGAACCCTGTTACACTGTTAACAAAATGAGAATATTTTTAAGAACTCAAATACAAAAACAGGCAATCCCACACCCTCTGTAATCTAGCAGGCGTTTCAGCATCAGCAACCACAGATTTCCTCCCAGTACAGAAAATTGTACCCAATAGCACTTTTGGTCCCGACTCTCCTTCGCTCTTTGCAAACTTACAGCACAAACCACATAAATGAACAGCAAGTGTTTCCTTAGTGCAGGCTGCAAGCTTCCAAATACACGCCAAACTACTGCAGCTTGTTATTCAACTGAGACTTCCTTCACTATGACAACTGTGAATGTTTTTTAAAATAATGCTCTTTTTCTGCAGGACTGGGGGGAGGAGGAAAGAAACCACGCTAGAACCTACTAGCAGAGATTTTTTTTTTTTTCTAAATTGTTCTGTATTAAAAACATATCTATTTTGGTTGGTGATAGGCACTGGATCCATAGCTCTGTACTCAGTTGATGCCTAGCTAAGAAAGGTCACCTTTACATGTCTCAAAACCATTCTGAGGAAAAAAAGCCCTGTTTAAATGACGCTCTGCTTTTCTCTTTCCCCATCACAGCAACACTGGAAGATTTTAAGGGCAAAGAAAAGGGGAAGGGAAAAATAACTGGAAATAAATTAACAAACTAATTGCTGCAAAATACTTAAAAGGGGACAGGTTTCACCCTCAACATAACAACTCTCACATTATCCTAATCCATTCATTCCACTACTGAAAGTGTTTTTCACAAGGGAGCTTCTCAGATATTTGACACTCATAAAGGAAACACTGCAGAGCCCTAAAGTAACACTTCCAAACGGCTCTTTTTCTACTGCCTAACCCAGTTCAGCATACATCCCTTCTCCAGCAGCACAGCCAGGAACGCTCTGTGTATTCCTTACATTAGAACTGAAGTTGACTGCCTTTAATTCGTTAGGTTTAATTTTATCTGCGCTGTCCTCTTCTCCAGGGAGGATGTCTTGCCACAGTGAGTTACGGAAACGTTCATCCACAGACACAACATGTCCCTCAGTAGTAAACATATACTTATTTCCAGATTTATGCAGTGGATTCTCTTCATCAAACAACTAAACGAGATGAGAGAGACAGCTATAGTATGGGTGCAACATTCTTCATGTCCCATCAACAATAAGTTAAAACGCACGCACTCACGCATTTGAAGGATCACACAAAAAGCATACCTTTTAGTGCTAAATGGGTAACTACTCTTAGAGCAAATGGAAATAAATAGTTTTAATGCAAGGGATTTATTTTATCAGTTAAAAGAGGAGAGCAAAAGAAAAACTTCGCACACAACTTAAACTGCCCTTATTTTTCTAAGCTGCACTATGCAGGCATTTCCAGGCTGGCATCCACTGTTCCCATTCAGTCACACATTTATTTGGTTTTCTACACTAAAGGAGATTGAGAACAGTAGCTTAAGCAGTGTTGGCTCAAATGTTTTCTCCTGTGACTGCCAAAGCCTGATGGGGAGAAATCGGAGGCTGCTGTGAGGCAGGCAAAATGGCTACAAGCAGTAATTTAGCTCAGAGCTGAGCAGCAGCTTCCTTCAGTCTTGCTTCCTCTCCTTTCCAGCTCCCCTGCAAAAGAGCTGCCAGCTCTCCAGCCAGCAGCTGCCCAAACCTCCAAGATTAGGGCAGGGGCAAAGAAAGAAGAGCAGCGCATTCTCTGATACACTCTGATACCTAAACCCCTCTCTTCCCCAGGGCGCAGCACAGGTTCTAATTAACAATGTCCTGCCTCCTCGCTGTGCCATGTCTGTGCACAGCGCATGCAAGAGAGTATCTTTGAAATGAAGAACATATACGTACCAGGTACAAATATTTACATGTTTCACTGAGAAAAAAGCTCTCCATTCTATCTTCCTTTGTCTTCTCTACAACGTGGTGTAATGTGGCATAGCCACACCTGCAAGATTTAAGATTAGTTTGGGTTTAGCTCCCACGCATTCTGATCTCGAAGCACTCCCTAGATATTCCTTAACTTCAGACCATTCCAACTGTCACTAGGGGTGAAGTTAAAAATGAAACAAGTCTCTCTTACAAGTAAGCACCGATTATTGGTCTCTGGTATTCTGATGAGACTGTAATCGTTGACCCTGTGGTTCACCTATTCCATCGTGCAGATTTGTTAAGAGTTTCTCAAAGAAGCAAGATACTCCCAAGGCACCCCGCACAAAACAGGCGATTTCCCCATAACGAGCACATGAGAAACCCAGGTCTGGAAGCCTGGTCTCATGCAAAGGTTTCTTCCCAAGCTACCTACTCTTCCCTCCCACCAACACTTAACAAATGACGAAGCTGCAAGCTGTCACACAGTGCACTCGTAATTCTTTCAGCCAAGCCCCTACACAGCATCTAAATCCCACTTAACCGCAGAATGGCGCAGTTTTATACTGTCCTATGCTTAGTACAGACTCATCTACAAAATCAGTAAATGCCAATAGTTGAATAAAAATTCACTATCTTCCCTCTGAGTCTTGCAAAAAGTTCAGATACTCAGTATTACAGTCAGGATTCACTGTTACTGTCTTGAGACGAAAGCTGATATGCAACAGCATCTATCTTAGAGGACATCCCTCCAGTTTAGTTAAACGCCACGGGCCCATGAGGTTAGAAATATTTTTGCAGAATCCATAGAAAAAAAAAAACCCACACCTACTAATTTTACCAGTTTTTAGCAACTGATCATCAACAATGCATTTTGAAAGGCAGTTATAACATTCTGAAGGCATAAAGTTGTCACTGGACTATAATTTCATTTTCAGATGAAAAAGAAATAATTGCTCAATAAATAAATCATCACTTGTGGCTTTCATGGAGGGTTGGGTTTTCTGGTTTACCTACATTTGGCAGATGGGATTCTATATATTTACATAATAAAATATACGTATATAGCTGTGAGAGAAGACAAAGAACATTGAAGACTGACTTTGCTTTTGTATATTTTTCCAAACTCTGCAGAATATCCATTCCCACATGAAGGTAAAATGGGTTCTTTGTGGCCTAAATAAGGAAGACAGACAAGAGTTAGAGTCAGCAATTTCAAAATCTTGTAAAAATAACACAACAAAGGCCTAGCAGTATCAGATTCTCGTGTATTACAGTAAACTTCTCTTTATAGGAACACGACTTAGATTACTCTGTGCAAGCTTCTCACATTTGCTTTAGTGCAAATCCTAATAAAACCTGTACTAAATTCAAACTCTGATAGCTTTCTTGAAGCCAGGAAGTTATTCTACTGTACCTTCTGCCAGCTGCAGACAATATAGCAAGGAAAGCTATTACATTTACTTCAGCAATTTCTATTAAGAAGTCACAGGTCTCTACCTTGTAAAAATCTGCCAGCTATTTTTTGAAAATGTTTAGTCTCATTTTTGTCTGTCTTATGAAAAAGGCTATTTTTTTTTTTAAGCAAACAACATAGCAACTACACTGCGTAACAATCTAGTGCCTAAACAGAGACCTCCGTCTAAGAACAGGCAGATCCAGAGGCACCAGGTTTTAGCAGGCCAGAGGCTAGGGGAAGAAAAAGTGACTTTCTGATAGAAGCTATTTTTGCCGAAATATGAGCTGTAAGCTCAGAAAAGTCAAGTACCTGATAGAGAAGGTATGTGGATTCCACTAACTCTGGCCTCAGGGGATAAAAGGGAACATCCGGTGCTTGCAATTGCCAGTTGTATCTTTCTGGGAGAGCTCCGTATCGTTTCCATATGGCATAATAAAAAGCATGGAGACAAATAGCATCTTCCACGTCTCCTATCAACACCTAGGCATAACAACAGCCGTAAACACGCACGCTTAATACCGCAAGCCAGCAAATTGCTTTCCGCTCCACGTAAGAACATGCCATATAATAAAACACACCCCTCATAAGGAGAGACAAAAAAAACCCCACCCCCACCCCCAAAAAAAGCGAATGTATTAATTCCTTCGCACGAAAAGCTTTAGCGGAGCTCAGCCTCACAGCATGGTATACAAATACTGAGGTTACACGAGAAAAGTTAAAAGTATCTCAAATCTAGTAGGCCAGGCCTTCCAATACTGTTATGCCGATGCAGAAGCTGAACCGCCCTAAGACTCTCTTACCAGAGCAGCCAGATGTAAACCCACAGGTTGAACCTCATCTCAGAAGAGATGCTTAGACTCGTTCACAGCCTAGGATTAGAATGAGCCTTTCTCTACACCCCTTTACTGTGTCATTTTGTCTTTAACAGAATGAAAGCTTACCTGTAGTCCAGGAAAAAAGGCTTGCAAAGAGTCAATCCACGTGTTCATCAGCTGTCCTGTGAACATGTTTACGTTAACGTACAGAGGAGGGTCACCTTCACCTTCATTGCAAGCTTCTCGACTGCCAAGTAACAATAAGCATGTGTAAATATTCACTATTTTAGAAGAACGCAATGCACGTTTCATTTCACAGCACTGCCACCAGCAAAGAGAATGAGCCACAGATTTGTCGTGCTAGGCTCAAAGCCGCTTTGAAAAGAACCAAAACGCCAGTCATGCTCTCAGAAAAATTAATTCATAAAGGTATGTACACCATATCCTAAAGTTATGCCAGCAGAATCTCTACCAAAAAGTCACGCTAGGTAAGATCAGGCCTTAAGAAGTACTAAACCAGCCAATTTAATACATTTCCCTCGCAGTTTTACAGCCTTCTCTCAGCCTAACGTTTACTAACTTGGACGGTAACCAGTTTAGCTTCTTTGCACCAATAATGCTATACAGATCAGTTGACTAAGGAGTGAAGGGAACGTTAAAATTTATTTCCACGGTCATTACCACGGAAATAAGATTTTGTTTTTTAAAGAAAAAAGAGAACACAGATTTTCTAGAGCATGACACAAAACACTATACAATCTCTTATATCTTGCTGGAGTACTCATTGCTTAAGGAATCGATACTCATATGAAACAACATACCCTCTTCTTAAGTGGTTCTGAATGTTCCGATAAGCATCATTGAACATATCCAAGTCTTCCTTTTCTCCAAAGAGGATGTAAGACTTCAGAAGGTATTCATAGAATGAATCCGACCCTGCTCCCAATCCACTTTGCTTTCCGACCCAATGACCAGTTTGAATATTCACAACATTTCCTTTCAGAACAGACAAAAAGTTTAGACTAAAACTGCCAAGTACATCAGAGAAAAATAATCAAGAACCAGAACTTAGAAATATTACGTCTTCGAAAAGTCTTAAGGAGGAATGATCAAAGATCACTATCAAAATAAAGTGTTACAGTGCATTCATCCAAGGAACTAGCACACACATGCAGTTGTTTTAAGTACTTTTAGTCATCTGCCAATCTAAACTATATTAACGGGGATACAAATGCAAGAACTTCAGTCTCATTTCCCAGTTACATGAAAAATCTGTCCTTGGAAACCTGTGCCCTAAGAAGTAATACAGATGCTCCATTTTTCTTACGAAATTACAAAGTGCCATTTGGTCAACACGAACCATGAGTACGCAAGGAGAGCATGACTTAACAGCTACAGAGGAAGCAGATCAACAGAGTTTACGATACATGAAAGAAACCTGTGGCATGATGGCATTCTGCTACAGGAGACTGAGGTAGGTTGAAACATGGAGCCAGTCAATATAGCATCACCTCAGAGGAGATTACCTAGCAGTCCGGTGTTATTGCTCCTGAGACTCCAGAGTGCTTTGACAGCCCTCCTGGCCACCCATTCAAACGTGGAATCGCCAAGCAGCCTGCTAAGGATGCCAAACTCCACCAGCAAAGAACCGGCTCCTGCAGTACAAGTTTCATTATTGCTGTCTGGAGGTACCCCCTTCTTCAGATTGACCTGTGAAGCAGGCAGAGAGAGCGCTAACAGCAAGAAGGCAGGCTGCACCTCATACAGCTGTGCTCTCATCTGCAGTCTTATATTTATTATAAAGCCTTTTTATTAGTTTCTGCAATACGTAGCGTGCAATGTGTGTATAGTTAGAAAGCCAGCATATCGCTGCTTGGTCAAGAAGCTTTCCTGAAGAACTCCTGCAATTCATCTTCCAGCTTTATAACATCATGCTCAAGGTGGGCAACCCTTATTTTGCTACTCTTATACTTGTTAATCCTTCCAAATTTCAGTCCACTTCTCCACCATTTCTACTAAACATTCAGGTTCTTCCAAGGGTGATGCAAGTACTGCTTCCTCTCAGTTAGTACTCTTGAAATCAAGAGTTTCCTCAGGGAATGCTCCTCAACTTCCCCGCAGAACAAAATGCTGAAGGGAAGTTACACCACCCTTCAACCGCTTTACCAGACTCCGAACAGAAGTGAGAGTTCATGTTTCTACAGCCTGACAGGTCTGGAGGAAAAGCAGTGCTGCCGTCCCCAGAAATTAATAGTCAGGCAAGTGCTAATTAGTTTTACAGTTTAGAGTTGTTCCACTAGAACTGATATCCTTCTCCTTGCAAACTGCATCTGCTTAAAACAAGAGGACGCAGTATTCAAGAATACTGCAGTATTCTTGAGTACTCACTGAGCAGTATTCAAGAAAATTACAAATTCCAAGCCCAGTATGACAAATGGTTTAGATGAGTTTTATCTTATCACAATTATCTCAGTACCAAGTCACCAATAAAGTCACCTTCCTAGGCTGTTTGCCTTTACAGTATTTCTTGTTAACCTTCTTAATGACGGCATTGTTTGTTGCTGCGTGATATATAGGAAGAAAGCGTGGGGCAGGGCACGTTCCAGCCAAACAGCATGGAAACAGATGACTACTGACCCGTATGAACAATATATACAGAGTGAAAAAACAGCCTAAAGAAAACATTTACTAGACATAAGGAGCAACTTATATGTCGTCCATATCACCATAACTTAGCGCAGTTTTCCCCCCACGCCATTTTAATGTAACTTAGAGCAGGTTCAATACCCCAAGTGCACATATAAAGGCACACACAGGGTACAGAATTCGAGCTGTAGGACAGGTGAATTACTACTTTTAGATTATTTCCCCACTGTGTTGGTGTGCTCACTTACCCGAGGATATGGAATTCCAGTTTTGGTGTTCTCAAAGGCTGGAAGTAGTCTCACTGCTAGGTCATGAGCCATATGCAACAGCTCATTGTCATAATCCTTAATGGTCATATCACCAAAAGGCTGTTTGGTATCTGTAATTATTATGTGGGCAGAAAGCAGGCTTCCCAAAACCCTGTGGGAAAAGGAAAAGATCTTCAGTTTTTAAATCTGATCTGAACCTAGTTCTTCAGCTAAACCCTTACCAGTACCATGTTTAACAGAAGTATTACTCTGTGCACCTTACAGGCACTACAGAAAGAGATCTGCTTTTTCCCCACCAGTAGTGAAAACATCTGGAAGTCATGTTGCTTGTCAGCCACAGTAATCCCAAAATCCAGTTCTGCAAAATTTACCTAACCCAGTAGCTCCTTACAACATACCAAGTCTATTGATGAGTGAAGACCTCCTTGCCCCTGCAAATGGCAGCAAGGTTGTTACATAAACTCAGAAAAAAAGAAAGCCTAGCCAAGTTAAGCAGCAATTGAATAAACACTGTTTAAGACATTCAGGAAATGAAGCCATTTCAAATCAGACAGTATCTTAAACTCATCTCCAAGACAGACAGGCCTGTTTTTCATCTAAAACGAAAGCGAAAGCAAGCAGAAGGTCCATGGAAGAAAACCAAAACGCGGAAAACCTGTCAGCAGGGTTGTTTGCTGTGCACAGATCCGAGTCTCCACTGCAAGAGCGACAACAAAAAAGTAGCAGTCTGCAAGCCAAACACAGTTGAGACTACCGTTGTATCACTGCTTCAAGTCACATGTGACTCATTAAAATTGTTTTAATTATGAAAGGATGGAATATTTTCATAAAAGGTTAAAACACAACTTACTCAAGGAACAATTATGGAATAAAGCCTACCAAAGACATCCTTATCAATGATTTTACTTTGGTTCTCCCGTATATGCACACCAAGTCTTTAACCTTGTTACTGTTTTAAAGACAGGAACTTAAGAACGACATACCTGATTGTTGCCTCAAAAACTTGGACCGTTGAGTCTTTATCAAATGAAACCGTCTCGATCACCAGCTTCACTGCTTTCTGGAATTCTGAGGAGTTTCCCATTACCTTTTACATAAAAACAAAGCTATTTTGTCTAATTGTTGCTTCAGAAGAGGGTTGGGGAAAAGAACGGCAAGTTCACATTTTAGACCAACGGTCATATTAACTAGATACAGAACAGAGTACTTCAAGCTCCTGCTAAAAAGACTTTCCAGAAAGTTACCCATCCTACTGACATGTAAAAGTGCATTTTTTAAAAAGTATGTTAAAACAGGGAAATCCACAAAGATATAATTTTGTCTGTTTTACTAATCTATGCACTCATGTATTCTTCCACCCCAACATCAGCCTTCTGGGTGATCTCTTAGAGCAGGAGTCTAAAAACCTCTTAAGATGTAGCGCACTGAGTGTTTTAACTGCTTAAACTATCAGTTTAAGAGTTAAGTTTAGCTTAAAAGGTAACACAACTTGCAGAACAATGAAGTCTGATTTGACATTTATTTGACCAGCGGAGTCCAACCTTTCGGGCTTTTGACTCCACACTGCACGCCATGCCCAGGAGTTCCCTCACGCCAGTTTTCCATAGGCATACCTTAGCACTTGATTTCCACTATATCCAGAGACAGACGTAAATTCAGCCCCAGCTTCAGGGAAGCAGGAACGTGGACGGAAAACACAGGTTCCCGCTTGCATAAGTTCACGATAAGGCTGGGAGTACAGGGAACCTACCTAGCTCTTTAACCATCAAAGCACCATGTGCCAGCCAGCCTGCTCTTTCCATTACCCAGACCTAGTGGGAAAGCATTCACGTGCTTGATCTGAGCGGATGAAGAGCAAAATAGGCCTTCTCTGTGCAGAAGCTTCTGAAACACAGGAGAGTCTAGGAACCAGAAGTTTTGTATTCGAGGGAAAAAAAAGTTACGTACTGCCCCAAAAGGTATGGATAGGACACTGAGCCACTGCTGAACGAGGACAGGAAGGCAACTGTTTAGCCATCACACCATCAGCCACGCAGCACGGATCCCTAACTGCTGTTTCAGTTAAAACCAACGTTTTCCTCACTTCCTGCTTTCAGCCCTGTTCATCACTGCCGCGTTCGGTTACGCAGCTGAGACCTCCTCAGCACAGAGCTGCGATTCCCTGTTAGCAGCGGGAAGTACTTTACACAACCTGAAGCACGCATACAGTCCTTGCACACACCACCTTCTGCACAGGAGGAGAGAAACGCACCACAGATCCAGTGCGTCGGGGGGCCCTGACACTCCAGAAGGCCAAGAATCTGCCCTGGCTGCAAAAATGAGACTCTGAAACCTAAGGGGGTTTCTAAATACGCACAAGGAGTTCAAGGAAGAGGCTCTTCTCCATGATACCGTACTACTAACATAAAACTGAGTTGCTTCTCACGTTATCTTCAAATTTTAACAAACAGAAATGCATATGATAGACTATTTCAGCAGGCGAGAAGCAGCTTTACAGCTTTTCCCCTCCTTCCTTTCACCGCTCTTCATACAGACTTACGTGTCAGTCAGGCCGTCTCTGCCAAGCGAAACAATCAGAGCTCTTTCAGTCATCTTGAATAAGATGAACTCTCTTCCTGACACATCTCTCAGCAACCCATGCAGATTCCAGCTCAAATCCACCCTTCCTGAACACCAGAGTACGGCCATATTCCAAAAGAGATCTCACCCGAGCCTCGGGGAAGAAGATCTCCAAAATTTCCTCCGCCTCTTCTGGAAATCTCTCCTGATACACCCCCACGTACTCCTGCCCTTCCCTGCCTGTGTAACGCTGCTAGCTCGTGATCCAGCTGTTAGCAAGTATACACCCAGCAGCTTCTCCTCAGAAGTGAAGGATTTAATAACCTCTCACTTACAAAATATTACACCCTTCTACTTCATATCGCTGAACTTCATTACAATTTTTAATTGGATCCTCACGATGCCGTCTCACCTTCTCTTCATCTTAAGAATTGATCTCTATTTCTGTCAGCAACTCTGCATGAAACATTAGCACTTTTTGCATTAATAGCGTTAACACACAGAGGCTAAACAGCATTTGCCCCACGGCAGGTCCTTAGAAAACACCGTGCAGTAACTCCCTCCAGTGCAAAACTTCCTGTTGCCATCTTCCTTCAACTTCTCACCAAGTTTCTCTACCAAGTACCCCTCTTCCTCAGCTCCACTAGCTTTTTTTTTTAAATTATTTTTAAACGCAGAGCTGATTCAAGATATCAGAACTACTGTTGTTATAAGTTCAACCTCTGAGCAAGGGACAAGATCAGTGTTGTTCAGTACCAGGGCAGAAGAACCCAGCAAGACCCATCTTCAAGAGAACGCTGAATAAATTAATGCTGTACTACATCCTCATGTCCCCCATTAACTCTTTCCTTCAAAGTCCGTCCCAGCAGCCTGCCTGCTGCCAAGGAGACAGCCCGTGACCACGCTCCCAGCTCAATCCAACCATCCCGCAACCGAGACCTGCACCTCCACAGCCCTTCTAAACGCAGCTCTGAGCCCGACAGCGAGCTTTGACTCCCGGTTTCCCGCACCAGGGTTGGGAATAAACCAGCCGGTGAATGGCAACAGGCGCCCGTTTCGCTGCTAACGGCCGGACTAACAGAAGAGAGCAAGCGAGAGCCGTGCGTGTCCAGGAGCATCTGGGGTTGAGCATCTCTCAAAAGCCTCGCGTCAACCGACGTCAGCCTTTCGGACGTTAACGTCCGTGTCCTGCTAAGACGCCGCCTTCAGAGTTTAATCAGCAGAAGAACCTCTCTCTGGCGACACACCCCAGCTACGTTAACGTACCTTCAAACTCATTTGCAAAATTCGGTTTGCTCATGCCGGCTGCCGACGCCAACCTCCCCAGCTTCCCTCCCGATTAAACCTAACGGGGCG